CCTCCCAGCCGCCTGGCCAGCCCTGTTCCATGCACTCGGCTGGCCGCTCTCCCGAACCTGCCTGCAGGCCTGTGGGCGCCCCTCTGTGTGGAACGCTGCCTCCCCCTTGGGTGAGGCGGCTCATGGGCAGCTCCCCCTCAAGTTTTTGTGGGAAGGGTGGTGGAGCTGGAGAGGTTGCTTGCACTCACCCAGTCTGTCTGCGGGCCACTCTAACTTGGGGAGCTCTGGTCCATTTCTGTCCCTCACGGGGGGCAGCACTTCTGGCTGGGATGGGTGTGGCCGCTGACAGTGGTGTGACCCTGGGTGGGATGCTCCCCTTCTTCCCAAGGGGGTAGGGGGCACAGAGCAGGGTGAGGCAGGTTAGTACTTCTTGCCTGCAACACCCAACTTCTGCCCCATCTACTCCCAGCTCAAGAAATGCCCCCCTCCCCTCGTCCCACAAACCCAGCGGCTGGAGGGTGAGGTGACCCGAGACTGTGAGCCACTGGACTTGGTCAGGGCCCTGGCAGAAACCCAGAGCCTACGCCAGAGCCACAGGGCGGGTCCCATCACCCTCCGGAAGCGGGTGGGGACTGGCAGCAGGTGGGAGAGGGGAGCCTAACCTATCCTGGAGCTCCCTCTAGTGTCTCCAGAGAGGCCTGCAGCCTGTCCATGATGCTGCAGAAGACTGGGTTTGTCCAGCACCTGTTTCCATTCTCATCAGCAGACACCAAGTTCTGCTGTTTCTGCCCCACAAATTCCCTGCTCTTCACCCTCCTCTGCCCTAATTCAGACCTGTGACCGTTCCCTGGCATCCTTCCATCCCTGCCCTCATGCCTTGCACCTGCCACACTCCTCCCAGAGGGAACTCTGCCACATGCAACCTGACTGTGTCACCCCCTTTAATCCCTCCCATGGCTCCCAGTGCCCCCAGGACAAAGCCCAGTCTCCTGGGCACCTTACAAACTCTACACAAGCTGTCCCCTGCTGACGCACCAGCCTCACCTCTGATCACAGCCCCTCCACATCCTGCCCTCAGCTAGTACTCACCTGTCTGCAGTGGTGGAAGCACATGCCCTCGCTCTCACCTGACCCTGGCCCATGCTGGGTCTGCAGCCAGGTGGCCTTCTGCCCCCGTCTCCCTGGAAAACTCCTATTCACACTCCAAGGCCCTAACTCCTGTGGAAAACTGCTGTCTGGCAGCTGAGCTCTCTGACCGATCCCCACGGCCAGGGCTGAAGGGCCCTCGTGTGTATTAATTCGTCACCTGCTATGTGCCCTGTCTGAGTGTGCAGGGGGCAGGGGAGTGGGTGGTGTGACGGTGTAGATTTGCTCCGGGGGGAGGAAGCAGGGGGCTCACTTATGAGGACTTTGGGCACCAGGCTCAGGACTTTGGACTTTCCTGACAGTAACTAGGAGTGAACAGCTGCAGACACAATCTGGGATTTGGAAAAGTCCCTCTGGCAGTGGGTGTGGAACCCAGGGGCCTCCTGGGCACTGTTTTGGGCATTGGGGGTGCTTTCAGTTTTCATGATGACTGGGTGGAGGGGGCTCCGCTGGCATTTAGTGGGTGGGGCCCAGGATGCTGGACAGCCTACGATGTGCAGGACAGTCCCTGAAGGCGTGGACAGGAAAAAAGACCTGTTTGTAAGTGTCTGAGCTGAGCCCATTTTTGCATGAATGCTCTGAATTTTAATGTACGCTGAAATATAACTTCCCTGTAAATTGGAGGAAGATTGCCCTTTCTCTTGTTCAGAAGCTTACTCACCGAAAAATTATCTACTTAACGTCAACGCTACTTGTGGTGTTTGAGTTGCCAACTTGACATTCTCTTTATCAGTCTGCATTGTGGCTGTCGCATTCGGGGGGGCTTTTATGGGTAGGTGCAAGCCTCTTGTTATTTTACTGTCTTCTAATGGAGTCAATAAAAATGTTTACTTGAAATACGTACATATCATCTTAAATTAGTTTTGTTATTAGTTTAACCAAAACTCACTTGGCTCTTAGCATGTGCCAGTCACTGTTCTAAATGCTTCATGAAAAATTACTCATTTAATCCTCATAACAACTCTATGCAATAATGTGCTGCATAGAAAAAAAAATTCCTTTTTTACTAGGAAGCTAACTAAGGCACAGAGAGGTTAAGTGACTTACCCAAGATCACACAGCAGGGAAGTACAGAAACCAGAATTTGTACATTTTACCACTAGCCTATAATGACTTACTCTGATATTTTAGTTAGAGCATTAGGATAGATTTCTTTTGGGAATTATATGCATATGTACGTCATTTCGTTTCTGGGTAACAAAGCATGATACAAGACATTTGTTGCCAAGAGGGAACTGGAACAGGGTTAAGAATCACTGGTGCAGAGCTCATGAGAGAGCCTGGGTGTGGATGTGCTCACCCAAGGAGGGACGTGTGAGAAAGGCAGGGGGCTGGGAGCAGATCCTGAAATCCCCCAACACTGTGGGAAGAAAGAGAGCAAGGAACCCTCAGGAAAGTATGAGGAAAGCTGGAGGAAAGCTAGGGAAGAGAAGCTGGAGGGGGTGGGGAAGCCTCTGAGAGACCCAATAAAGTCAGGGTTGAAGGTGGTCCCACATTTGCCACAAGGTGGCGCACGGCAGCTACAGGACAGTGGCTGAGGGGTGAGGCTTGGATGGGCTGGACCTGGCGCTATAAAAACTCGTGTTTGTCTGCATATCCAGAGACTCCTGCCCTCCTGGCCCCCCGCTCCCTGGGACTGCTTGGATCTCGTGGGAACCTCTGAAAAGCAGAATAAAGAGAACTTGCATTGCCACTTCAGATCACTACAGCAGCCCCCCTGACCCCCAGGGGATATGTCCTAGACCCCCATGATGCCTGAAACCGCAGATGGTACCCAACCCTAATGTTTTTTCCTATACAGCCATACCTACGATAACGTCTAATTTTTAAATTAGGCACCATAAGAGATTAACAACAACAACCAATAATAACACAGAACAATTAGAATATCCTATATAATAAAAGCCCAGTGACAAACGGCAGAACAACCAGTCGACCAGTCGCTATGACGCACACTCACCACCAGGGGGCTGACGCTCAACATAGGAGTTGCCCCCTGGTGGTCAATGTGCTCCCACAGTGGGAGTGCCGTAGGCTGACCAGGATGAGCAGCGCTCCCACAGCAGGCCAGTCCCCGCAGGCCATGCCCCCACCAGTGCGCAAATCCCATGCATCGGGCCTCCAGTACTGTAAAGTGATGTGAGTGTGGTGTCTCTCAAAATATCTTATTGTTCTGTACTCACCCTTCTTCCTGTGATGATGTGAGATGATGCGATGCCTAACTGATGAGATGAGGTGAGGTACTCGGAACAGCATGCGACTTAAAACTTATAAATTCTTTATTTCTTCAATTTTCCATTTAATGTTTCTGACCCCAGATAACTGAACCTGCAGAAAACAAATGCACTGATAAGGACTATTGTGAAGCCTTCCATGATGGGAACTGCTATCACTCCCATTTTACAGATGGGAAAACTGAGGCCCAGGGAGGGACGTCCTGGCTGAGGCCACTCCACAATCGGTGGTGGAACTGGGCTCAAACCTGGGTCTATCTCAGAGGCCTGTGCTTTTCCTACAGGGTGAGGAGGGGCTTCCGCAGAGGGGAGGGGAGACGCTCCTGCTGTACCCGAGAGGCAGGAAGTTAAAGGTGATTTAGGAGAAGAGTCCAGAACCCAAGGAGGAACCCCCACCCCAGGGGGAGCAAGACTCAGGGCTGGAGATGGGGCAGGGAGGTGGACAAACCCAGGCCTTTGGTTCCCTCTCCGAGCACTTGGCCGGGTAGGAGGACCAGTGTGGCCCCCACTGCCCACGCCCTGCCCCATGTGATTCACATTGCTCCCTGCCCTGGACGTCCATGGGCCATTGCCCACCCCCCTAGAGCAGCCCGAGAGGAACCTCAGTCGCTGGTCGCGTCTGACTAACCACTGTAACCCCCAGGTGTCAGGGACACATGGCAGAGCCCAGCACCGGACCTGGGTGGCCCGAGTCTGTGGTCACTGAACCGGGCCAAATGGGGATGCATTAGCAGGGGACAGCGGCTTGGTTCAGGAAGGGGTTCTCCCTCCACTGGAGCTGAGGGCAGTGGGACAACGGGGGTGGGGGGCTGTTTCTTATGTTGCAGCGCCTTTGAGATGACCTGGCTTCCTGGGTCCGGGTCCCCTGAAGAACCCCTCCTCTCCACCCAGCAACATTGCCCTATGCAGCCCGGAGCGAGCAAACATCGAGTGCACCAGGAGACTGCGAGGTTAGACAAGCAGGAGGACTTCCCACGGGGGAGAGGAAAGCTTGCTTAGTGAGTGCTGCCGCTCAGTAGAAGGGGCGGCCTTGGATTATGGTGAGGGGTCTGGAGCGGCAAATAAGGAGAAGATCTAGGCCAAAGGGGAGAAATGGCTGGTGGTGAGGGGTCGGGGGAATGGAGGGAGTCAGGGGCCTTTTCCTGAGGGCCATGGTGAGAGGAGCTATGTGTGGCAGGAGTGGGACCAAGAGACACTGAGAAGGAACTGTTGCCAGAACCTGTGGGGAGGGAGAGGGGCGTCAGGCAGCAGGGTGGGGTCCCTTGCTCAGGTGGGAGCTGAGTGGGAGGAGCTGGGGTTGGAAGATGGCTGGGGAGGGGGCCCAGGCTGAGGCGCTGGGGGTGGTCCAGCCGAGCGGGATACCTGAGGACTAGCCGGCCTCCCCCACAGAACAGAAATTTCTCTGAGGAGGCAGAGGCAGCACAGCCTGAGAGGTGGGAGGAGACAGGGGTGGGGGGTCAGGAGGGAGAGGGTGCTGGGCAGTGAGGTGAGATCGGACCCACAGGGGCCCCTGACTCCTGCCTGGAGCCCTGGGCCCTGGGGAGACTGGGTGGGTCAGACCCCTCCTCCAGAACCCTCCTCGAGGAGGAGCCGCCTGGGAGGGCCTGGGTTGGGGGAGGAGGCGGGAGAGGAGGGAGGGAGGCAGGGAGGGCCGGGCCTCTGTCCACAGCATTAGTGCTGGTTGGAGGGAGAGGGGGGTACGGAGCCAGCCAGGCCGCCGGTTCCCATAGCTGCGGAGCAGAGCGTGCTGCCATGGCGCTGGCCAGGCCACGGACCCGGGACCCCAGGCTCCCAGCCCCTTTCTTGCTGCTGATGCTGCTCTGGGCCCCTGCCCTTGCCCTCCTGTCCGGTGAGTTGGGGCACAAGCCTTGGGGGGGGACCTGAGAAGGCTGTGTGTCCCAAAGCAGACACCCCAGGCCCTGGGGCTGTCCCTGCGGGTGCCAGCCCAACTCTGGGGCTGGGGTGCAGGCCTGAGTTGTGGGGTGTGGAGGAGTGTGTTGCTGTGGGCCACTGGAACTTGTGTAGAGGCAACAAGGGACTTGGGGCTGCTGTGTGTTGGGGGGCTTTGTGGGCCAGCTGTGATCTGGGTAATGGGGTGGGCTCTGTGTCTTAGGAGGGGAGTTGGGGTGGGAGTGCTGGTTGTGAGGCCTGTGCTGGGTGTGGGGTGCAGGTGGGGGGTGTTAAAGTTGTGAGGGAGGATGAGCTGTGCTGGGCGAGCCTGGGTTGTGTCTGAGGCCTTCTCAGTGTGGTGGGCTGTCCTAGTGCGAGTTGTGGGGTGCGTGGTCCAGGGGGTTGAACTGTGTCATGGGGGCCGGGAGCGGGGCAGCAGACTCAGTGTAGTGGATTGGGTTGGAGAAGGGGAAGGGGACCAGGGGAGTCTGGTCTCTGCCGACTTCCCCCATTTGTGCTTTCGCCTCGCCTGCACTGGGGGGACGCAGGTGCACCGGGTCCCTGGGGTGCTGGGTCCTTGGGAACATGGTGCCCACGGCTGCCCCTGCCCAGGCATTCCCAGACGGAGCTGAAAGGGCTTCCCGAAGCCGGACCCCACTCGCCAAGCCGTTTCTGCTTTTGTCCAAGTAGATTCACGTGTGCGCGGGCCTGGAGTTCTTCCTGGGGGGTCGGGGGACGCTTTGTCTTGGTCACTATGGCTACTAGGTCCCCTGCCCCCCCACCCCCCTGCTGGCGGAGGGAACCAAGCAAGCAGTGGCCTGGGCTCCACGGTGGCTGAGGAGCCCCTACCTCCTCAGACTCTCAGGGTGTGGGGTCAGGTCCCCCCAGGCCACTTCCTCCAGCCTCTCATGGGCCCGGCTCACAAAGCCTTGGTCTCCTCCTCCTCTCGCAGGGCCCTGGGGGGGCATGAGGACCCCATTGTGCAGTGCAGGAAAGTGGTCTCAGGGAGGGATAAGGGCTTATGAGCTGGGCCCCCCAGGCATGTCTGGGCTCATGAGAGGCACTAGGGCCTGCTCTCTGCACCGAGACAAGAAATCTTGGTCTGGGGATCTGGTGACTGTCCCTTGTCCTACAGTGTACACACACACACACACACACACACACACACACACACACGTGTGCACACACACAAACGCACACCTGCGCACACACACATGTACACACAAATCACATCTGTGCATACATACACACAAATGCACACACACCCCTGCACATGGGTGTGGCATGCACGAGGTCACACACCACCTTATGAACAGGTGTCCACACATGTGGACCCACAGGATGCACACTCACACACACGCCCACATGTGCCGGCACCCACCAATGCGAGTGTGCTGACATGCGTGCATCCACACTCAGATACACATTCACGTGAACCTCGAGGCGGAGTGAACACAGAGTAAATGGTGCTACAAAAGGAAATGGACTCACAGACACCCCTGCACACTCACCCGCTGGGGTCTCCGAGGGCAGCCTTTCCCCTGTGATTTCTGCACGGGAAGCCCCCTCCCTGGGGATCCCTGAAAGCTGGGGCGGCGGCACTGCAGGCATGAGCATTTTGGGTGCCAGTTCTCCAGGCCTGATGCCAGGCGGAGAGGGCCCGGGGACTGTATCACCTGAAAAGCCATTTCCATCCCAGAGGGCATGGGGGTTCTGGAGGCCCTGGGCCCCTGGCTCTGCTGCCCACCCTGCCAGGCCCGCGCCTGGCCCCTCTCCTGAGCCCACGCTGCCTCAAAGGCTCTGCCGGTTGCTAGGAGAGGACCAGGCATCTTGGAGGACAATGGGCACGCTGGGCTCTCACATCCCTCCTGCTCCCAGAACACCCAGGGAGCCTGGCTGACAAAGGGGCAGCCCTCCAGTCCCCAAGTCTGGCCCCTCCTCCAACCAGAGCTGATGGGGCCTGCAGAACAGAGGCAGGGAGGGAAGAGCTGCCCACAGGTGACCCAGGGCCAGGGTTTGCTGGATGGTCAGTGTTTGCCTCGAGTAAAGGTATGTAGGCCAGTGGTCGGCAAACTCATTCGTCAACAGAGCCAAATACCAACAGTACAACGATTGAAATTTCTTTTGAGAGCCAAATTTTTTAAACTTAAACTATATAGGTAGGTACATTGTTATTAACTTAATTAGGGTACTCCTAAGGCTTAGGAAGAGCCACACTCAAGAGGCCAAAAAGCCGCATGTGGCTCGTGAGCCGCAATTTGCCGACCACGGATGTAGGCGAATGAATAAACAATCAGTATCAGCCACTATGTGGTCGGTGCTATGCTACTGGACCAACGTGGTCAGTTTCATTCTCACCACAGCCCTATGAGACCCTCAGTTTACCAAGGAGGAAATGAGGCCCAGAGAGGGTCAGTAACTTGCCCAGAGTCACAGAGCCAGTGGTTGGCAGGGTCAGGATGTCACAGTGAACTATGGCACCAGCCGACAGTCACCTCTCCTAGGCTAACTCCAAGGCCAGCATGAGACCTGGTGAGAAAATACCCTCGTTCTTCAGCTGAGGTGCAGCATGGGATCCCCAGTTTCAGAAACTTTAGACAGAACCAGAAGCCACCGTAGTTAAAGGTGAAATAATTACACGTCACCTGGTGGGCGGCAGGCCGGAGCCCCACCTGCTCCGTAGGACCCTCCCTACGGGGAGCGCCTCCCTGGGGATCCCTGAAAGCTGGCGGGGGGGGGGGCACTGCAGGCATGAGCATGTTGGATGCCTAGTGCTCTGAGACCACGGTTTGGAAACTCCGGGATGTGCCAGTGCCAGGAATTGGGGAGAGGACGAGAATCCCCTAGTTATTGTTGTGGTTACTGTTACCAGAATTATGCCTTTTAACCTCAGGGATTCCAGCTTTGTTACTGGGTCCCAGCCTTGGGGCCACTGATGTGAGATGAACATGGCCCTTCTGCCAGGAGCTCTGCACCTATGAGATCCTGGGTCGCTTCTTTTTAAAATGTTTTTCCTTTTGACTTTCAGATGAAATCTACTTATTATTTTTTTAATCCTCACCCGAGGGTATGTTTTTATTGATTTTAGAGATGGGAAGGGAGAGGGAGAGGGAGAGAGACACGTCTATTGCTTGCCTCCCATACATACCCTGACGGGGGATCAAACCCTCGGCCTTTCAGTGTGCGGGAGGATGCTCCAACCAACCGACTAGTTAATAAGTTTACATACATGTCAAGTGTGCAAGTCTATGATACTTCATCTGTATATTGCATCGTGTGCCCAACACCTAAAGTCATTGGGTCGCTTCTTAAGGATAGTCTCTCGCTTTGTCCGGACAAGACGCTTCCCAAAATCCACGCCCCAGAAACAGTTCTCATTGTGGCTGCAGTTTCCACCAGGCCTGTGAGAAGTGCCCAGCGAGCACTGAGGGAGGCAGGAGCCCAGGAGGACTGCTAACAGCCAGGTTCTGGACAGACACCCAGGACTGCCCGCTCTCCCAGGCACATCCTGGAACCTCCATTCTTTTTTCTTTTTTTAATCCTTCCCCGAGGATATGTTTTTATTGATTTTTACAGAGAGAGGAAGGGAAAGAGAAACAGTGATGTGAAACTTCAATACGTTGACCCCCCCCTCCCCTGAAATGACTGGCTATTGAACCCACAACCTTTTTGTGTACTGGAGGGTGCTCCAACCACCTGAGCCCCTGGCGGGGGCCGAACCTCCATTCTTACGCTTGTGCATAGAGACCCCGTCCAGTGCCCGGGGAGGCGGGGCTGGAATGCACTACAATGGCAGCACAGGGTGGCAATGCAGAGTCTGCCCAGGGGAATTTCGCATGCCCGGGAGATGTGGGCCTCTCCCAAGTCTGAGACATCTGTTCTCAGTTTTTTGAGGGATGGTCCTGGGCAAGTTTACAACCACTGAGTCAGAAAAAACAGTTTTCTCAACAGCACCCATGCCTAGTGGTTCTCAACCTTCTGGCCCTTTAAATACAGTTCCTCATGTGGTGACCCAACCATAAAATTATTTTCGTTGCTACTTCATAACTGTAATGTTGCTACTGTTATGAATCGCAATGTAAATATCTGATATGCAGGATGGTCGTAGGCGACCCCTGTGAAAGGGTCGTTCGACCGCCAAAGGGGTCGCGACCCACAGGTTGAGAACCGCTGGACCTGACAGCACTATAATAACATGGTCATAGATGCGAGATGTGGAGTACAGGCCAGAGCACATAGTACACACTCAGTAAACGGCCGCTGTTATTGTAATCCTGCCCTGTCCACGGAGAAATTTCCCTTCTGGGCCTTCCCAGGGCTGGGCAGCCGGTCGGAGGGGAGGGGCAATGTCAGTTAATCCGTCCCCTGCAGGTCGTCCCAGGCGGCCTTAGAGGTCAGCGGGGATTTGTAAAGATAAGCACAGGCCCCTCGTTACCCTGGCAACAGGCCCCGCCCCTCCTGCCGGGCCCCTGGGACGGCCCCTCCTCTGCCCTGGGTCCTTACCTCTCCTCCCCTCCGCCCTGGGCTGGCCTGGCCTCCCCGGCTGGCTCCTGGGAGACAGAACCCGAGGTCAGCAGTTCCCCAGCCCCACTGCACAAGGGACTCCCTGGGAGCAGCTGCAATGCAGATTCTGGGGCCCGGGGCCCAGAGGTTGGAATCTCTAGGCCGGAGCGGGGCCCAGGAATGGGAATCCTCACACCGGCGGCGGGGGCGGGGCTCTGGAACCAGTGGAGGCTCCGCAGCAGGGAGAGCTGGGCTTGCATTCCAGCCCCTCCTGGGCTGCGGGACTGGGCCTCATCTCTGAGCCTCTTTCCTCCACCGTGGAACAGAAGCAATAGCACTACCCAACTCCTCAGTAAACACGCAGATTCACTGAGATTACACACGAGATACGGCTGCCCCTGGTGGCCAGGCTAGTGGCGCTATTGCACGCCTCCCGGGACAGACAGCTCCCTCCCTCTCTGCCGGGCTCTGACAGGGCGAACTCCTTCCCCCAGGTGCGGGGCTCTGTCATTCAGGGCCACAGCCCACCTGCTCCCACCTTCCCACTCCCCCAGGCGCTGCATGCCCGGCCTGGTCCCCTCTGCTCTGAAAGGGTACAGCTCCTGGTTGGGGTGGGACCCCTGGGGCCGCACGGAGGAGGGTGGCACCTTGCTGGAATGAAATGGCACAGGCCCAGCAGCCAGAGTCCTTCAGCTGGCCCTCTGATTGCTGCGCTCCCCCTCCTGAGCGAGCCTGGGTCAAGGGACCCTGATCATAATGGCCGGAGCCCTCACTGAGGGGCCACTGGGTGCCAGGGCTTCACCCACGTCACCGCGGTGGCTCCTTACAACACCCTATGAGGTGGGCCCTGTCAGCACCCTGATCCAAGCCGGGTCTGTCTGATGCCAACCCTGTTCCTTCCATGAAGGAGCTGAACTCACTCCCACCCCCTTCAGATCACCTTCCTGCCCCCATCACAGCATCTAGCCCTGGGGACTGGCTCCTAAAGGGATCAGCCACAGCCACTTGGAATGGGAAAAAGATGGGCTGCCCATAAGCCCCCGAGAGAGGCCCAAATACCCCCTGCCCTTACCCTTGTGACCAGGCGAGGGGGGGTGGGGATGGATGCCCTGAGCTGGGGAGAGGAACAGTGGGCAGAGGGGGTCTGTGGACCCCGTGGCCCTAGAAAGTCATCTGGTCTGACAGCATTTGAGACCCTCTGCCCCTCTGCCACTAGCCTGGCCCTGGTGGGACTCCCAATTTGGGGCTGGGAGTAAGTGAGCCCATGTTGAGCTGTACCAGGCGCTCTGGGTGCTCCGAGGGGGGGTGGCAGCGGGATCCTCTCCCTGCGTCTATTTATTGGTCAGTATTCCCGTCTCCCTGTCCTCCATCCTGCTTGGCCCTGGCTGGGAAGGGTGGGGGTCGACCCGTGGACAGCCTTGCCTTGTGGAATGTGGATGACGCCTGAGAGGCTGCGGAGCCTTATCTGGGGGTCTTCACCCGGGTGGGGGAGGGGAGGCGCAGGGCCTGGTTAGTGTCTGGATGACAACTTGGCCAGGGAAGGGGCACCTCTCAGAACCCCAGGTGGGGAGGGGGGGGTGCCTCCTTCTAATGGGCGACTCCCCCTCCCCCATCACTTACCGCGTTCCTACAAGCGGGGATTGGCTGCAGTCCCCAAGGCACTGAATCCTATCACACCCTCTGAGGCACGGACTATCAGCACCCCCTTTCGGACTGGGAGATGCAGCTCCCTAGGAGGAACTTGCCCACCGTCCCAGAGCTAGTAATTGCGCTGGGATCTAACCCAGGCTGTTTTACTCCAAGGTCCGAGTTCTTACTGTTCTTACTCCAGAATTATACTGACAGGCTGACAGGCTGGGAGGGAGGGAAGGTTAAGGGAGGGAGGGAGGCTGGCTCTCTACCTGGCTTGGCTTCCGGATCAGTAGGTGAACCTCTAACAGGGAGCTCAGCGCAGGCAGCACAGCGGCCAGAGCCAGGGGTTGTCAGCAGGTCTCAATACCTGCCCTGTACCCTGTGACCTTAGCCAGGCTGCTGCTCAAGCATTTGCTGATGCGGGTACAGTGAGGGCCAGGGATCCCGTGAGAAGTTCCCAGAGCAGTGGGGTGGGCTGGGAAGAGGGGGAGGGGGGAAAGAAGGGCCTTTGAAGTCCTCCATCTTCGATTTCACTCAATTTCACGCAGGGATGGAGTTACCAGACCCCCAGCAGGAGTGGCGGAGGGGGCAGTGGGAAGAGCCCTGACCTGGGCCCTCTGGGAGGGAATGGGCCATGGACAGGAGACCCCCACCCCAGTGGGGCTGACCCCGGCCGGAAGGCCTGGAAAGCTGTCCCAGCACTAACTTGCTGTGCGATGGCCTCTGGCAAGTCCTCACTTTCTCTCTTGAGCCTCAATCTGCTCTCGTGAAATGGGCACGACAGAGCCTGCCTCAAAGGGGCGCTGCAGGGATGCGAGGGGATGGAGAGCAAGCTCCTGGGATGGCTGCCTGCTCACCAATCCTGAGCGGAGTAGCGTCCCAGGTCCTATTTTTCTGCCATGGAGGCTCCTGAACTACTCCCAGTCCCGGTGTGGCTGTGTGTAGCCTGTTGGGACCTGGCTTGTAGAACCACTGGCCCCTTCTCCATCCTACCCAGTGTGGACAGACCCTGCGGTTTTCTGTCTCCAGGGACCAGGGCGAGTGTGGGGAGGGGAGTGCCCGGTAGCCCCTGCCCACCCTGTCTCCTCTCTCTACAGGAACAGAGCCTTCAGAGGCTCGGAGTGCCTGTGCCTCAGACCCATGCTCTCCAGGGACCCAGTGCCAGGCTACGGAGAGCGGCTACACCTGCGGGCCCACCGAGCCCCAGGGCTGTGCCACCCAGCCCTGCTACCACGGCGCGCTGTGTGTGCCCCAGGGTCCAGGTCCTAACGACTTCCGCTGTTACTGTGTGCCCGGGTTCCAGGGCCCCCGCTGTGAGTTGGACATCGATGAGTGTGCCTCCCGGCCCTGCCACCACGGGGCCACCTGCCGCAACCTGGCCGATCGATACGAGTGCCACTGCCCTCTGGACTATGCAGGTAATGGCCCCGGCTGTGCCCGGAGGAGGTTCTGTAATGTCCATCCCCTTGGCTCAGAGTGTGAAGTCAGCAATTCGGTTTGACTTTAGTAGAGACACCCCCACCTCCTTTCCAGGCATCCTGGCAGCTCTCAGGGACAGCCACTCTAGGTCTGGATGCTTCTGGGGCTGCCCTGGCAGCTCTGGGTGAGCGTGGATGTGTAAGCACTGGTACGGTGCCTGGCAGGGAAAAGGCACTGCACACGCGCTCCCTCAGTCCCTTCCAGAGTTCCGACGCGTGCTAGGTGTGGAGACACCCTCGGGCATCTCTGGTGGGACTAGAGTGCAGATCTGCCTGGTTTGGCCTTAGTGAGTACACACCTAATATTTCTCACATCTACTCACTCCAGACCTGTGTCCGGCTGTGGTGTAGACTTCCTGTCGCTCATCGGATGATTCTAGAGCAGTGGTTCTCAACCTTCCTGATGCCGCGACCCTTTAATACAGTTCCTCATGTTGTGGTGACCCCCAACCATAAAATTATTTTCGTTGCTACTTCATATCTGTAATTTTGCTACTGTTATGAATCATTATGTAAATATCTGATATGCAGGATGTATTTTCATTGTTACAAATTGAACATAATTAAAGCATAGTGATTAATCACAAAAACAATATGTAATTATATATGTGTTTTCCGATGGTCTTAGGCGACCCCTGTGAAAGGGCCATTCGACCCCCAAAGGGGTCGCGACCCACAGGTTGAGAACCGCTGTTCTAGAGTATGAACACCCCTGGTATGGTTCAGGTCGTAATGTAGACCCCCTTCCCTGGGTAGCCCCCCAAACTCCAGCAGAGAGACATGGTGGTCTTGTTCAAACTGGACGGTGGGACTAACCCCAAAGGCCTCTGCGGTCTCCAGTGGGAAGTGGATGATGCATTTCCAAGTGCTGCACTGAGGAAACGCTAGCCCCATCCCAGTCCCATTCCTGCTCCGAGCAAGAGCATGGGAGTGAGGGCCTAGAGGCCGGGGAGGAGGACACAGCTGGGGAGAGGTCAGGTCCAGGGCAGCTGGGAGCCTGCAATATAGACACTGGATTCAGACAACTCTCTCTGAGGGCAGAGGGCAGTCTGAGGTCACCTCAGAGCAATGGGTCAGACTGGGGGGGCTGGGTTCCAGGGGAGGGTGCTTAGAGAGAAGAGGTAGGTCTCGGCACCCAGAGGAACATGGACTCTGGAAGCGGGTTCCGTGTGTCTTTCTCAGCTTTGAGCGCCTCGGTGCCTGGATATGTGTGTGAGGTCATGAGTGTCTCTCAGTATTGTCGGGTGTCCGGGCTCCCTGAATGCCTTTGTGCTAAAATGCTGTGTGCGTGCGTGCCAGCAGGTGCGTGCGCGCCTGGATGTGTGGTGCGCACACGCTCTGGGGAATGCTTTTTGGGTGAGACGTGAGCGAGTGCAGTGTCTGTGTGACTCATTTCTCTGCTCCTCCTTCCGTTCCCAGCCAGGCGGGGGAGGCTGGGATTCCAGGCCTGGGCCTAGCTCTGCCTGGCACAGAGGGTGGGAGCGGGGCCAGGGAGGCAAGCATGCGGGAGCACAGGGAGGAGGGGCTGGTGTTTTGTGCTCGCTGAGCCAGGAAGGGGGTAAGGTTCCTGCAGGAGCCGCCTGGGCCCCCGGCCCCCCATGACCAATCATTTCCCAGGACCCATCCCAGTTGGGCCGCAGGGGTAGGGCCACTGGAGTGTACAATGACAAACGTAGCAGTCCATCTCCACACTGGGATTCCCCACCTCCCTTCACCTCCACAGCCTCCTCCCGCAAGGGCCTCCCAGTCTTCTGGGTGTTGTCCAGGACTGAGGGGGTTCCCAGGACTTGGACTTTCAGTTTTAAAAGCAAGACAATGCAGGGGAGACCAGAAGGAGGTGCTTACCCTACTCAGCATCTCCCGCCGGGGCGTGTTCCTCTCTGGGGTCCATCCTTACACTTTGCCAAGACGGCAGGTGAGCCTTTTAAAACGCAGATAGGAGCAGGTAATTCAGCTGTTTACAACGTTAGGGTGAGCCCAGATTGTGTCACCTGGCCCCAAGGCCCGGCCTCGCTGTACCCCTGCCTCACCTCCTCCGCTCTCCCCATGCTCCCCACCTTCTGCGCGGCCATAGGGCATCATACCCGGCCGCAAGCAGGTGCTGACTAACAGTCTCTCTGGAGCCCAACAGCCCCCCATCCTAGTCTATGAAGCCACCTGGTCCTCCAGAAGGCCCTTCTTCCAAGAAGCCTTCCCTGACTCCCAATCCCCCAGGCCAAGATCCTGGCTCTTGCTTCCCCAGAATCCAGGACTTTCTCATTGTTGAGCTTATCAACATGAAAAACCAGTCCTCCCGTAGTTAACACTGACTTAACACCCATCTCCTGGCTAGATGCTCGTGAGCTGAAGGGAGCAGGGATGTCGGTCTTGTTTCTATCCTGTTACCACCGCGGGCGTGAGAAACTCCTTCTCTGCGTGGACCCTCACCTTCGGCTCCTTGTAACTGGAACTGTTTGAGGAGGCCCGACTCGGCCTCTGTCGCCCTGCCTCTTGGTGACCTGCCTCTGTCCGTGTCTCGGTCCGTCCAGGCGTGAACTGCGAGGTGGAGGTGGACCAGTGCGCCTCGGCGCCCTGCCTGCACGGGGGCTCGTGCCTGGACGGCGTGGGCTCCTACCGCTGCGT